ACTCATCGATTTCGCAAATTCTTTCGTGGAAACCCATCAATATATTTAGATACGCCTTGTTGAAATTGAGTTGTGAGGTTCTTGCAATCCCTATGCCTAACCAAATGTTGAGTGAGATTTGATGCTCACAATTCAATTAGCATGTAGAACCACGACTCAGCATCACCCTTTTGTCGGGCAGCCAGACGTTTATGCGCGTCCAAGCTCCAAAACGGTAATGTGTAGGCGTCCGGTGTCCCATATCTGAATGCTTGGTGCAGAAAATATGTTCAAATAATTGTAAATACCTTATCTTTTTCCCAGGTTTCACGGTATCACCATAATCTATCAAAAATATACGGGTTGCCAGTGGACCCGCTCCAATACAAAAATTCGTGAGTTTTATGTCGCGATGAACATACTTGCAAGAATGCAGGAACTAAAAGTAATGCAAATCGGTTTGATATGGATGAATTTTTAAACCTGCGAACAGTATGTATGACAATGAAACAAGGCGGAAGCGCTGCCAAGTTGTCTTTTCGAGGAATGAGCGTAAACTGATACATTAGAATTTTACATATAAGATATATCTAGACGTGCACTTGCTTCTCTATCTTCTAATTATCTTGTGCGAGTACTTACGCAGTGCGCAAATATATCAAACCTAATATCCGTAGACCTCCTCAGAAAATTACATTAGTTGTGTTCATACGTACAAAATTCCAAAAGACTGTGTTAATTGCAAGATTGAGATTACAGAGAAACGATTGCTTCATCCATAGAAGCAATCATTTCTCTGCAATCATTCTTTTTTTAGTACAGCTCACTTCTGAGACTCGATTCGAACAATGTTAAACTAACGGCTATGGCTGATATCGCTTCATGAGCAATATAATATGCAGTTGTTGGTTTGAAGTTAACCACTTGTTCGCGAAGCTTCTCGAGGTTGCGATCCAGAAGGTTCATTACTGGAAAGCTTATTATGAACTGAAACAAAAAACAAAAAGTTAATTCATGAACAAAAAAGCCTGCACCAACACCTTTTGTAAGCCTAACGCCACCTTGCTCAAAAAATCGGGTTCCTTACAAGTGATTATATATTAATAAGTTTTATATAGGATTTTGGCAAAATTGCCTCTTGCCTAACGAAGCAGCACCGCTACCATACCTTCATGATTCAAGAAAAAAACTTCAACCTCCTATCATTTCACGGACTATCAACCTAAAGATGTATCGAAGCATTTTCGCTTATCAAAAAGCTTTCAGAAAATATAGCCTCTAGAAGTGAAGCCTCTAGAACCCTACAATCTCTTAAAGCACTAATCAAAGGTTTGCAACTTTTATCACGTTACAGCTAATAAATTCAAGTTCCTATTTTACGCACTTTGGAGGGGG